CTTAGATATGCTATATGCTAGGCTGTCTATGTTGAACATTTAATAAGCGATATATAGTCATATACCTCACTAAGTGCTAGTTAATCTAAATCAGTTGTTAGCTTGCCAATAATAGTTATAATAGTTAGCTAACGTTTTGCTAACATTAGCTATCTTAATATGTGACTATGTACTTTGCTTATATCTTTTAACCATCCTAACAGTTTGTTGTGTCTTGACATAAACAAGACTAGCATATGAACATGTACTTTATTAATCCCCAATTGGAGAAAACATTTTTTCACTCTTTTTGTTTATGTGAGTTGCCACGCTAGCAGCGCCCCAGGAGCAGTTTAGGGGTTAGGTGCCTTGCTCAGGTGACCCGTGCAGTGCACAGGGAGGTGAAACTGGCACCTCTCCAGCTACCAGTCATATAGCATATCTACAGGAAGGAGAAAGTTGACTGAGGTTCCAAAAAGGGCTGGGACTTAGGAAGGGTCAATTGGAGTCTACTTCTATTCTGTTAAAACTATACTATGAAAAAATAATATGAAGAAATGTCACTTACACTCAGATGTAAAACTATACAGTATTTCACAAGTATACAGCAAAAATTAGAGAAAAGTAAAAAAAAATGCAATGTATGTACCTGTATATGATATTTTCTGATTTACTATGCCAAAAATGAGTTTTGGTATGAAAGGATACAGTCTGAAGGTTTGTGTATGACCAGGCAGTGACACCCAGTAAGTACACACATGTAGTCCCAGCCATCTGAATATTCAACTTCCCATTATCTATCTGTATATGAACAGATCATTATTTAAAAAGGTTCCTGGGCTCTGAGGTGAAAAATGGCTAACATCTATTTTTTGTCAGTTGCCTAGTAATGGTGTTGTCATGAGCTAAATACAAGTAATTGCACCAAGAACAAGAATAGTTCATGTAGTGTATATCGGTACCGGAAGACGCTGTGTCCTTGCTAAGCAGGGAAATAAAATGTGTTTAGAACAGTATGTACATTGTCTTAGGAACAGACTGTAAGAATGGCTGAGCTGTAGGCTAGTCTCACTCTGAACTCTGTGTCTGTGCTCGTAGTCCTCGGGAAGATGAGGAGTGCTGTGGGAAGTGCTCAGCTTCTGATATCCCAGAAGTTTCAGCAGTTCAGGGAGCTGTGTGAGGAGAATCTGGTGAGTCTGGAACACTTAGACACTCACACTGAGAGCATGAAATCACTAATTTACAATAATGTCACACCTTTCACTTCTATGTAACAAACTAAGATTTGATATACAGACATATTTTGTTTCTTGAATACTCCTTTACCCATTCATTTTAGACCTGCTTGTTCCTTTAATTATTCTCTTCTGTCACTTGTTCTATTTTGTTCATTTCTCCTCTGCCTTCTTTGATTTCTCAATGGCCTAATAAATATGTTTCTGACATACTGTTTTTAGCATCTAGATATGAAACACTAAAATGATTTTCATGGCAATGATGAGTTAGTTGATTGCTAAGTCTCATTCTCAGCTCATCAAATATCGGCGCTGGGAATGAGACTCAGCTATCTTCAAGACACCAACCCTTTTCATCTTCCCAGCATTGATGGGTTGTTTTTGTTTGGACCCATTCTATTCTTGCAAACATCATTAGGAGCACTAGGAGGAGCCAGATTAACCTGATTTTTTCACAGATTATCTGTCTATATATGTACTACTGTCAGGATATAGTGAAAGTTTCAGCAAATATGACAGAAAGGTTATTTTTATGAAAGTCGCCTACTGCAGCTTTAATGAAACCTATCTCACTGACATGACACTCACATGACATACGAATGATTTATATATATATTGTTTTTTATATTTTGTATTCTGTATTGTAAGCTGTTCTACGAACAAAGTTGAAGATGTAATGTATAAAACTACTTTTACTAATTTTTCTCTTCCCTGGCTGTCATCTTCTCCACCTTCTCCTCCTTTTCTGCCATCACAGAACCCCAACGCCCACCCTCGTCCCGTGGCCTCAGACCTGGCTGGTTTCTGGGACATGCTTCAGCTGTCGATCGAGAACATAAGCCTCAAGTTTGATGAGCTTCACCAGCTCAGAGCCAACAGCTGGAGGCCCCTGGATCCCCCCGAGAGAAAGGTACAAACACAAGCTTCCTGTGTGCCTCCAGGCTGACTGGTTGACCCGGGAGAGCAAAATTAGACTAAATGGAACAGTTTAATTTTGTGCTGCTTCTTTCACTCCATGGCTATTGTAAATGTGACTCATGATATGAAACACAGATCACAAATTTAGGATTAAATGTGCTTTGACCGCTACATCCCATGTCTATTAACCATTCAGAATACAGCTTGAAATTAAATTCAGTTCAATTCAGAATACTTAATTTGTCCCTCAAGGGACAATTTGAGGCAAGCAAGTATGCAAGAAGAAGTATACATAGACACCACAAAAAACTAATAAAAAAATACAATTATGACAATGTTAGAAGACAGACATAAAGATTAAAAATAGGTCAAAGTGCAGGTTCATCTATCAGTGTATACACAAAAACAACTCACCATTTCTTGTATTGTGACTGTTCTAATCTAATCGGGTCGTTAATATAATAATCATATATGTTTTTATATGACAATATGACAGAATACACTGACTAATGCCACATTGTAATCACCCAAAGACATACTATACTGTACAGTTCAAGTACACTGGTATCTGTACAAAAAATTCCTATCGTCCATAGCTCCCTTTTTGTTTATTTTCAATATTGTATTTATAATCAGCCAGACATTCTAATTAGAGATCATAGTCTGACACAAATTGAGCACCATTTTAGTCACACCGTGGCATGATGTGTAAGACTGCTGTTATCGTATAATGGAAAGGGGCCTATATTTGAAGTCTTTATATAAAACATGTCCTCTCACAGAGCGCTTTGAAAGCTACAGGTTTTTTGATTTCCAGACAAGGGTTGGGTACTGAAACACGGTGCCAATATGGTTCCTATACGACTGGTATCTATCGAACAAAATCACAACGCAGATTGGGCGTCCTTGGCCCCGAAAATGGGGAGCATAGATATAAATGATGGGCAGGCCATTGATGATAATGATGACATCAACCTTTATTCAGATTAGCAAATATACGTCTGCAAAATAACTGCAGAAGTCTGAAGCTGGAGTTTGTGGAATACTAAGAATACAAAATTTATTGTTATTTAGTTTTGAATAATTGTAGTTGGGTTAGGTTATATTTATTACAGGAATTTGTTATGTAAATAGTGTTTTGCATCTATTTATATTATATTTAAAGGTCCAGCGTCAAGGAATTAGTGCCATCTAGTGGCATCTGTGGTTGCAGATTGAAACTCCCTCGCTTTACTCTCCCCTTCTAAGCATGAAGGAGAAACTACGGTGGCCACAAAATGCCTGAAAAACTCTAACCCCCCTATCTGTGATTATACATAAAAACATACCTATGAATATTATATTCCATTTATTTCAATAGATTCTCCTAAATGTTACACACTGGACCTTTAAGTTTGTTGTACTGTTACTTAGTAACAGTTCAAATATGTATTAGCAAAAATGTTGTGCTTCTTTTTAAGTATCAGTTCAGGCACTTTTTTTAAAAAACTTTTTTAAAAGTATCCTTTTAATGCACCTGTATCAGAAAAACCCAACCCCATTCAAGACTTACACTTGGCCCCCTGAAGCTCTTCATAAGCTTAATTAGAGTGTAGTCACACCGGCGGTTCCTGGATCTTGCCTTCCATTCTCATTCCACATTCAGCTATAATTCCCAGTGTTAAAGTATTGACAGCAGTCATTCTGAATGATACAATTTTTGTACAATTTCCTCATGCTGCCTTTAAATGGGGGTTTGCTGTTGAATCCATGTTGCAAAAGAATTAAAATAGCTTTTATCTAGGGGAATTCACAAGCTGTACATGACCATGACAGAACCAAAGAAAGCCTTATTCTTAGTCTTGCTGCATCACTCAGCTTTCCTCTTGTGGTGCAGAGTTAGTGCATGGGTGTCTGACTTGGTCTCTATGGTGATACAGATACTCTTCCTTGTGTATATCTTTAAGCGTATCTGTAGATCTTTTTCATATGCCTTGTGCCTGGTCTCTTGCTCTCTTTCTGCAGTATCTGTTGTGGCACTGCATCATTGTGAATACTGACTCTGCTGGCTTCCTCATTTGCTCTCATTGTTGTCTTTTTCTTTCTTGTGCTTTTGTTTTTTGTGTTGACAGTGAAGGCGCTTGCAAACAGCCATTCATCAATCAGCATAACTGCAATGCCAACAACACCTTGGGGCCTTGACACCTCTGGGCCTCCGTAGATCCATCATGTCATGTCTTTTCCATCCATCTCTCCATGCTTTCTTCTGCCCTTCGTTCCTTTCCTCTGATGCCTGCTGATGTTTCACCATGTGTGGCTTTTTGTCGTGTGTGCTGTAGCTGCCAGTGTCAATATAGATGGACAGGAGAGAGTGTGGCGAATGTTCCTTCTCCACAAATACATTTTACATTATGAAGCACATTGTTTACACAGCAGTTTAAACAGAGATAAAATTAAAAAGACATGCATAAACAATAAAACAAAGCACTTGGAATTAGGAGGGAAATACAACCAAATATGATAAAACAGCAATAAAAAGACAACGCTAACAAGAAACAAAAGCAATATTCCAAGGGAATCATTACAAGATAGGGAAGAGACAAGTCTTACTCTTCACCCTATACTGCATTTCTATGTGTTTGGGATACCTTTGTCTTTCCATATAATAAAGGTCAGGGGGGTTACCGCCTGCCGTGAGGATACAGTACAGCTGATGTGTGCTGTACTGGAAATGCAGCAGTCTTCAGGTTGGTCTGTTGACATAGACCCTCCTAAGTCAGTTCAGTACATGATGTAATTTCACAAATAAATGAGTAAAATAAATAAGTTAATACAGAATTTCACAGGGATCAAGGGTGAAGAAGCTAAGATTCAAGCAGCTAATTCAGTCTCCCAGCTCTCACAGTGATAGTAATCTGGCTGGGAACTAGAACTAGCTAAATCAGTAGGGTTTTTGAAAATGTATACAATATCACAAAAAAACCCATCGCGATACGATACTTTTTTAGGTTTTCTTCCATTGCTAAGTTAAACTGGTGCCAAGTGCAGACCCTGCCCCAAGATAGACTTGCACACAATTGAAAATCTGTTATAATATTAAAATACCTGCCTTGCATGCATCTGAAAGCCTAAAAACTGTACAAGATTGAGTCACACACTAACACGTTTTTGATAGTAATGTACAATAGGTACGATTTTACCTGTCCCAATGCAGATAGATTGTTGTAAAGCAAAGAAAATTGTATATAATAGATAAAAAGGAAACACATGAAGCGAAAAAGTTAAAATTCCAAAATAAGAGCATGTAGCAAAAGTGTGTGATGCAGTATGTTTAAAAATGTTGATCAAAACAGAATTATACAGAATGTCCAATTCATCTGACCTCTTCTTTACTTACAGTACACATGGTTATCTACACAGACATACATTAAACCAAAAGCCTACAGCATTTAATGGGCATCACATACACAAACAGACACACACAAAAACATGTCTGTCTTTTTCCTGAAATGTTCTCCCCCCCATTCCCCCCACCGTCCTCTCCCACCAGGAGAGGCGGCTCCCACCTCCAGTGCCAAAAAAGCCACCCAAGGGCCCCCACCACCACCCCCCTCTGGCCAGAGACCGCTCACTGGAGAGTTCAGAGAAACAGCGGCAGGAGGCCAGGAAACGCCTGATGGCCGCTAAGAGGGCTGCATCCGTACGGCAAAATTCAGCCACGGAGAGTGCTGACAGCATTGAGATCTACATACCTGAGGCTCAGACGAGGCTATGAGGACATACACAGGGTTGACATGCAGTACACACACCCTACACAACACAAACACAAAAATGTATGGTTGTCCACACCAAGGTACAGTATGTGGGTGTAACTGAATATGAATACATTATTTGGATATGCATAGCCCATGCGAGCTGAACAGATAGAAATTAAAGATACAATTTTTGCAGTAATATAAACACACAGACAATATATCAATAGAATTGACATTATGGAAAAACAGTGAGTATTTCTTAAAATCTATAGATAAGAAAAAGTACGAACCACAAGCACATTTCAAACTCAAATACACAAGTTGACCCCCCGCAGACACACTCCGACCATGCTATATGCATTTGAATCTCCAAGACCCACAAGATCCTAGATACTGGACCCTTAATTGTTGGCATCAGTTGACCATGACCTGTGAGAGCTGTCAAAACCTCCACTGGTTCTTAAACCATGGTACATGTACCACTGGTGGTACGCAAGCAGCCTGTAGGGGTATGCAGACAAATCTGCTAGATTGTCATGTTTAGGAACGTAGCGCTGAGAGAGTTCCCCTTTTTCTACCAAATAAGCTCTGGTTCTTGAACGGTTCCATTCAGGATTCATCAACAGTCAACAATAAATAATCTTCTTATTAGAAAGAAACTTGCGTCTTGCAGGAACTTTCTGTAGCTGAATAGGGTCGGCCGACGCTACTGTATGGGAGGGCCTGATATTTTTTGAGGTGTTACGTGGTGTAATGAGGTTGGTAATAAGGTACACTAATGAATATAGTGTAGACCCATGATTTAGGCACATGCTGTATATCTAAAATATTGGAACACTGCCTTGTGAAGTGAATGGACTTTGTGGTGAGATTG